TAAGTACACAGTTCAGTAGTGGTCAGCCTGTCACATCTTGTGTAACATCTTGCGAAACTGACACCATACCCCGCAAACACGAGCGCCCCTCCTCCCCCACGCAGCCCTTGGCGACCACCACTCTCCTCTGCCTCTACGGCACTGACTGCTTTGGATACTTCCCGGGAGTCAAGTCATACAGGTTTGTCCTCTCGACTCAGCCCTGGGCTGCTCATTTCATTTGTATAACGTCCTTGAGGTTCACCCATATCAGAGATGCAACAGAATCTCCTTTTTCAAGGCTACGTAATGTTCCATTTTGTGTACGTGCCACGTTTTCTCTTTCCGTTTATCCACGACATACAAGTTGCTTCCGCGTCCCGGTTACCGTGAACAATGCAGCAGTGAGCACTGCTGTGCAAAGCTCTCTTTGAGATCCGCTTTGAATTCTTTTGGATACGAACCCAGAAGTGGGATTGCTGTATGGCAGAGTAATTCTGGTTCTAATGTTTTGGGGAACCTCCATTCTGCTTTCCATAGTGGAGGCACCACCTGCAGTGCATGAGGGTTTCTCCACATCCTCACCAGCTCTTGTTATTTCCTGTTCTTTTGATGGTGGCCATTCCCGTGGGCGTGAGGTGACGTCTCATTGTGGTTTTGATGTGTATTTCTCTTATGATTAGTGATACTAAGCATCCTTTCATATGCTTCTTAGCCATTCGTATGTCTTCTTTAGAGAACTGTCTATTCCGATCCCTTGCCTGTTTTTTAATTAAATATTTGAGGGATTTTTTGAGTGGTAGTTGGTGTTTTAGAGCTGCAGGAGTCCTTATGTATTCTGGACATTAACCCCTTATCGGATTTATGATTTGAGAATATTTTTCCCATTCTGTAGACTGTCTTTTCGTTCATTATTGTTTCCTTGGAGATGCAGAAGCTTTTAAGTTTGATTTGGTCCCCGTTGTCTATATTTGCTCCTGTCGCCTGTGCTTTTGGTGTCACGGTCAAGAGATCATTAGCACATCCAATGTTCTGAAGCATTTCTCCTGTTTCCTTCTAAGAGTCTTCTAGATTTAGGTCTTACACGTAGGTCTTTAAGCCATTTGAGTTAATTTTTATACGTGATGTGGGGTACGGGTCTAACTTCATTCTTTTGCATGTGGACGACCTATGCTCTTTGTTGAAGAGACTGTCCTTTCCTCATTGTAACCATCTTGGTTACTGTTGCTTTGTTGTATGTTTTGAAGTGTGAGGCCTTGAACTTTGTTCTTATTCAAGATTGTTTTGGCTATTGGGGGTTCCTTAAGAGTCCATATAAATTTTAGGATTTTTTTTCTCTTTCTACAAAAATTGGCATTGGGATTTTGATAGGGATTGCCTTGAAGCTGTAGCTCACTTTGAGTAGTATGGACATTTTAACAATATTAAGTCTTCTAATCGATGAATGTGGGATATCCTTCCGTTTATTTGTATATTTTGTTTCTTCCAGCAATGTTTTGTAGTTTCGAGGGTAAAAGTCTCTTGCCTCTTTGGTTAAGCTTATTCCTAAGTATTTTATTCTTTTTGAGGCTATTGTGACTTGGATTATTTTCTTAATTTCTTTTTGGATTCATCATTGTCGGGGTCTAGAAACCGATTTTTATAAGTTTATTTTGCTTCCTAAGTATTTTATTCTTTTTGAGGCTATTGTAACTTGGATTATTTTCTTAATTTCCTTTTTGGATTCATCATTGTCGAGGTCTAGAAACCGATTTTTATAAGTTTATTTTTTGTATCCTGCAAATTCGCCGAAATCATTTATTTAACAGTTTGAGGGTGTTTTTTGTGACATCTTTAGGGTTTTCTATGAGAGAGATCATATCATATGCAAATGGGCAATTTAACTAGTTCCTTTCCAATTTGGATGTCATTTCTTTCTTTTTCCTACTTCCGGCTGGGACTTCCGGCTGGGACCTCCAGCACTAAGTCGACTAGAAGTGGCTAGAATGAGCATCCTTCCGTTGATTCTGATCTGACAGGAAATGCTTCCACTCTTACGAATGAATGCAATGTCAGCTGTGGGCCCTTCGTACACGGCTTTTACTACGTCGAGGCCGTTTCCTTTTATTCCTAGTTGGTTGTGTGTTTTTATCATGAAAGGGTGTTTCATTTCGTTGAATGCGTTTTCTGCATCATGGATACCGGTCCGTTTTTTCTTCTCTTATTGTGATCATGGATTTACTTTCAAATGCTGTTAGTGCCTGGCTCCCGAGACATGCCTTATGTTTTAAATGTATAGAATGGTTGAAGAACTCAATGTAGCTTTGTTCTGTGGACAGTGTCATGCTCAAAAATTAGGCTGGGGAAATAGGCTGAAGAGAAATCAGAATGGTATACAAATAGAAACGTCTTGAACACCTCCTTTCATGGTAAGGAACTTTCATTCTCTGCTCCCAAAGGAGCCGGATGCATGTTTGGGAGAAGAAGATGTCTTCCCTCTGTGTTGGATCCACTATCTGACATTCCGAGCTCGCGTGGCTCCCTTGCTTTCTTGTTTAAAAAGGTGTGTGTGTGTGTCGAGGAGAAATTTGAGTATCGCAATACAGTTACCTCAGATCACATAAATTAAACTGAAATGGAGGCGTTCCTCACGAAAATATTCAAAGTGTTGCCTCACAAAAGATACTTTTCAGTGGCAGCAGGTTGATTCGGGACTCCCACCCAGCGTTAACACATATTTTATACTTACTGCTAAGCTTCCTTAAATTCGGTCCAAACATAACAACTGGTTGACATTCCATCTGGGAGTAATGAAAAGTTGACTTATTCTTTTGGTTTTTCTACGTTGAATTCAGACTCAGGAAAGACATGAGGCAGAAATTTTCTTCACTGAACATTGATTGTGGTCTTCGTACCTGTCTTAAGATTACTGTAACTGGAAACAGTTAAATGAACATACTCAGAGAATAACATATTCTGAGTATTATTACCTCCACCTACCCAGAATGTGTCATTCTCTGAATATGGGCTCATCTTATAGAATTTCCTGATAAGCGTCGGAATCAGGTACTTTATAACACTGACGAGTTTTGCGCATGTGTAACACGTGGTGAAGGACCCGGCCTGGGGGAGGGGAACGCCGTTGAGTTTCCTGCGGACAGAGGTGGGCAGGTCCTGATGGCAGCCAGACGCCCACTTCCTTCTCCTCCGTCCACACTGCCAGGCCTGGACCGCGTGGTTTTTTTTAAAACCGTGTCTTGTTGGACCCGTAACTTGGTTTGCTTGCGGCATAGAATAACCACGACGACGAAATCGAGGACTTCTCCTTTTTTCTACTGGCGTAGGACAAATCCAGAACTTCCCGGACTGGCCCCCTGTATTGTCATATTTCCCGGTCAATCACAAGGATAACTGCGTTTTGCCACGTAAAACGGTAAGGGCAGCTACCACGACCCGAAAGCTCGCGTGGTGAACGCTGGGCTTGAAGCACACACGGGCTCTGATTCGCTGAAGCCTCACAGTGACCTTATGAGGGGACAGAGACATGAGTCGCAGGAGTCCTCAAAGCTGAAGTTCATGACAGAAAGAGAAATGTCAGAAAACGTGCAGCTGCTTTTAACACCTCAGCAGGCGACTAGCCTGGTCTTGAGGAAGCAAGACAGACGCTGGGTCCACACCGCCTTTTACAGGCACCTAGAACCCAGAGCGTGAGAACCACGGACCGCTGTTATCCTTACACGCAGGCGGGCGATACGCATCTGTCCTCGGAAGACCTCACGGGAACCCGCGGGTGACGGCTACATGAAATCCTTGTTGTGCCTGTCCCCCCAAAACCACTATCGAGCCAGAAGGACACGAAGGTCATTACTTTTACGAGCGTTTACTATCCATCGGGCACCACACCAGGAACTCTACCTGGATGCTTTTCCTTCTCTCAAGGATCCTCCGAAGAGAGGGACCTTCATGGCCAACCCTGTTTTATGGTGGAGGAAGCCAAGGCGTCAGCAGGTTAAAGGACGTAGCCAATGTATCCAATGTATCCGTGGTCTATAGCTACTGAGTAGCCAGTGACATCTCCATGAGATTGATGCATTTAGACATGCGATATGTATAAATACGCTTGTGTTTTTTATGAAGACCAGCGGTATAGTGGAATAGAGTCCTTTTACTCTTTCAGTCAAAATCAGATGTGGCTATTAGAATATAAGAAAAACTGATATTGTCCTTTCGTAGTTGTGTTGAATTAATTTTTTTGCATAAGAATAACTGAGCTAGAAGGGCGCTGGCTGAACGTCTACAGAATGTACTATCGGGAAGAGAATTTCCGAAAACAAATTATAATGTAAATAAATAAAAATGAACTTCGAATCTTTAGTTCAATGCCTTTCGTGTTTTGCTTTTGACTTTTTTTGGGGGGCGGGGGGAGCCATGAATATATGTTGTTTCTAAAGTCATCTTGGTTTTTAAAGAAATGACATGTGTGGGTTTTTCGGAGCCTTCTGATTAAGCGCGTGTGTATGCGTGTGTGTGTGTGCGCGCACGTGTGGTCCGTGTGATGATTTTACCCGATGTTATAAGCGCTCCCGACTTAATTGTAAAGTGGCAACTAGTTTAGTGTAGTGAGTGGACTATAGTAAAAGTGTCCTGCAGTTTCAAAGCCCGTTTAGATATTTCGAACATTCGGTTGTTAGATTTGCAAGTGACTGTGCCTTTTGAACAGACCAAAGAAAGCCTATGATATAGGACGTATGAGGAGTGACCATAACGTCTGTCCCCTGTCATTTCCAGGCACATCTCCAGACTCTGATCCGGCCCAGGTGACGTGCCCGCAACTGGGAGACGGGCCGCCCGACTCCCCGTGCTCTCCGCCTTTTGCAAACTCCAGAAAACAGTCCCTTCGGACTCTGAAACTCTCCGCAGCTCAACCGTGACTTCGCTCAGACGTTCATATGTTCGGCTCGCCGTCCCGCGTATAGCTGTACAGGGCTCGCCTTGCGTTAAAACTCGGGGGTGCCAGGGGCTGAGCTTGCCCGGGAGGCAGCATGGCCAGGATGAGCTTGGCCTTGGCAGCCGGTCGACTGGTGCTGGGCGTGCTGGCGACGTCGCTGCCTGGGGCCGCCCTGCACAGCGGTGAGTGCCCGCAGCTGTGCGTGTGCGAAATCCGGCCCTGGTTCACGCCGCAGTCCACGTACAGAGAGGCCGCCACCGTGGACTGCAACGACCTCCGCCTGACCGGGATCCCCGGCAACCTCTCCAGCGACACGCAGGTGCTTCTCCTGCAGAGCAACAGCATCGCCAAGACCGTGGGCGGGCTGCAGCAGCTCTTCAACCTGACCGAGCTGGACTTCTCCCAGAACAACTTCACGGACATGAAGGAGGTGGGGCTGGCCAACCTGAGCCAGCTCACCACGCTGCACCTGGAGGAGAACCAGATCACCGAGATGCCCGACCACTGCCTGCAGGGCCTCAGCAGCCTGCAAGAGCTCTACATCAACCACAACCAGATCAGCACGATCTCCGCCAATGCCTTCGCGGGCTTAAGAAATCTCCTGAGGCTGCACCTGAACTCTAACAGGCTGCGGGTCATCGACAGCCGCTGGTTCGACGCGACGCCCAACCTGGAAATCCTCATGATCGGGGAGAACCCCGTGGTCGGGATCCTGGACATGAACTTCAGGCCCCTCTCCAACCTGAGAAGCTTGGTTCTGGCAGGGATGTATCTCACGGACGTCCCCGGGAACGCGCTGGTGGGCCTGGACAGCCTCGAGAGCCTGTCTTTTTACGATAACAAACTGGTCAGGGTCCCGCAACTCGCCCTGCAGAAAGTCCCAAACCTGAAATTCTTAGACCTCAACAAAAACCCCATCCACAGAATCCAGGAGGGAGACTTCAGGAACATGCTTCGGCTGAAGGAACTGGGGATCAACAACATGGGGGAGCTCGTGTCCGTGGACCGCTACGCCCTCGATAACCTGCCGGAACTCACCAAGCTGGAAGCCACCAACAACCCCAAGTTATCTTACATCCACCGCTCGGCTTTTCGGGGTGTCCCTGCGCTGGAGAGCTTGATGCTCAACAACAACGCCCTGAACGCCGTCTACCGGAAGACGGTGGAGTCCCTGCCCAACCTGCGTGAGATCAGCCTGCACAGCAACCCCCTGCGCTGTGACTGCGTCATCCACTGGGTCAGCTCCAACCAGACCAGCATCCGCTTCATGGAGCCCCTGTCCATGTTCTGCGCCATGCCGCCCGAGTACCGGGGGCAGCAGGTGAAGGAGGTTCTGATCCAGGACTCGAGCGAGCGCTGCCTCCCCATGATCGCCCACGACACGCCCCCAGCCCACGTGGACGTGGACGTGGGCGCGACAGCACTCCTGGACTGCCGGGCCATGGCCGAGCCCGAGCCCGAGATTTACTGGGTCACGCCCCTCGGGAATAAGATAAGCGTGGAAACCCCGTCGGATAAATACGCGCTCAGCAGCGAGGGCACCTTGGAAATCTCTAGCGTGCAAACGGAAGACTCGGGGAGGTACACCTGTGTCGCCCAGAACGTCGAAGGGGCAGACACTCGCGTGGTGACAGTTAAAGTCAACGGAACCCTTCTGGATGGCGCCCAGGTGCTGAAAATCTACGTCAAGCAGACGGAATCTCATTCCATTCTGGTGTCCTGGAAGGTGAATTCCAACGTGATGACGTCGAACTTGAAGTGGTCGTCGGCCACCATGAAGATCGACAATCCCCACATCACGTACACCGCCAGGGTGCCGGTAGACGTCCACGAGTACAACCTCACTCACCTGCAGCCCTCCACCGACTACGAAGTGTGCCTCACCGTGGCCAGCCTCCACCAGCAGACCCAGAAGTCGTGCGTGAACGTCACGACCAAAACGGCCGCCTTCGCGCTGGACGTCTCCGACCAGGAGACCAGCACCGCCCTCGCCGCCGTGATGGGGTCCATGTTCGCCGTCATCAGCCTTGCGTCCGTGGCCGCGTACGTTGCCAGACGGTTCAAGAGGAAAAACTACCACCACTCGTTAAAAAAGTACATGCAAAAGACGTCTTCCATCCCGCTGAACGAGCTGTACCCCCCGCTCATTAACCTCTGGGAGGGCGACTCCGAGAAGGACAAGGACGGCCCCGCCGACGCCAAGCCCCCCCAGGTCGACACGTCCAGAAGCTACTACATGTGGTGACTCAGTGGGTATTCTGCTTCTGGTAGTAAGGAGCACAAAGACGTTTTTGCTTTATTCTGCAAAAGTAACACGTTGAAGACTTTTGTATTTTCGACTTGGCTGGTGTGCGGCAGGGTGGAGAGGCGGGGCGGACACGTCCAGTTTTTTTAGTACAGCGCATCGCAGAGGGCGACGCGGCTGGCAGCGTCTCTGGGCTTCCAGTCTGTGTTTGGTTTTGATTCTTATCGTTATTATAATTATTATTATATTATTATTATTATTTTGTTTTAGTTGTTGTGCTAAACTCAATAATGCTATTCTAACGACACCGCTCAATAAAATGTTTGACAGGTTGGGGTTCCCTGTGCTTTTACCAGCAGCAGCACCCCGTCTTCTGAAGCCATCGGTAGAAAGTACCACGTCCTCTGAAAAGCTAACGTACAGTCGTGAAGCGGCACTGAACCTTCTGTAGCAATCTGGTCCGCGGACTTTTCGCTCCAGAAGCTAAGGCTAGACTTGTTTGCTACCCCGAATGATGTTAGTTGACCGTACTGTAATGTTGTATCAACTGAACTGAATGTTTGCCTTTGAACATTTACGTTTCTTTTTTCTTTTTTCTTTTTTTTTTTGTAATAGCTAAAGGGGCTTAGGACAAGCTAACAGGCAATAGAAATATGAATATCAGATTTTTTAATGTAACAGACTACATGTTAATTGTTACCTTATTCTTTTTATCTTTAGTAGACACTTTTAAAAGAAAAGACAATACTTTTGTTGTGTTTAACTCACCAACACGTGGTGTATAATGAAGACGGAACTATAATAAATTAGTTTTGTTCTGATTTTCTAGAACATGTGCAATAATATATCATTTATGGTTCTTGCTGGTGGCAGTGGCGATATTTTTCACATCCCCTCAAAATAACTACCAAAATAAATCAACTACGGCACGATGCTTTTAAAAACCAGGCCCTAGAAAATTTTGAATTCTTTTTCTAAGAGAAGAAATGTCTATTTTAATGAAGATATTTTAATGAACGTGATTTCTATATTTTAAATATAACTGACCAGACCTAATGGAGGAGAAAGGTCATATGAAGATAAAAGGTGTATTACTGTACCCCGTGCATAACTAAACAGTGGGGGAGAGGGAGGGAGGGAGGGTGGGGGAGGGGAGAGAGGGAGAGAGACAGAGAGAGAGAGAAAGAGAGAGAGAGAGAGAGAGAGAGACTGATTATATATGTCACATTCGTTCTCTGTAAGGGTTTTGTTAAAACTGATCTTTTTTAGTAGTATCCACACTCTCCATCGAAGTCTAAAACAGTTGTTTTCCAGCATAGATCACCCGTGATTCCTGTTTTAACAGCCGTCTGTGCTCAGACCACGTCAGTCCATATGCGTGTGAAGATTTCTGCAGGGATAAGTAAATGGTTCACGGAAAACAGAACAACTCTGTACAGCTGGAATTTTTTGTCCAAATAATTTCGAGACACTTGCAGAATTAAATGTTTCCCAGGAAATGTGTTTGCAAAATTTAGAACAGAAGGAGGTGTGTTTAGTTAGGAGGCCGGTCCCCAGCGGGGTGCGGGGGGTGTGGGGGGTGTAGTCAGAAGAGAAAGAACCCTTTGGGAAATGCAGACTGATAAAGCAGAGAAATGAAGTACGGTGGTTCCAGATGGCGCCTGGAACGAGGGGGGCGACGGCAAGCAGGTGCCAGCCGAGCAGAAGCAGGGGAAGCGGCAGAGAGAGCACGTGAGACCGGCCGAAGGTCTCTCTCTTTGTAAAATTCCTTGTGTCATGAATCACTTAGAAAGACAAACAGATCGTCACTTCCCTCCCCATGTCAAAGAGGGAAAAAAGGATTTCAAACGCCAAAGCAGCAGCAGCATAAAAACCACCGTATCTGAGCTAGAAGCATCTCCGCCTGCAGCGTTTCCGCCCTTGTTGGGGAGGGGACCCCAGGCCAGGGCAGACCCGGCTGTCCCCAGGCCGCCTCGCTGCCGGCCGAGGACCGTCCGCCCCGTCCAGAGCCCCACGCCCGGCTGTCGGGAAGGTGCCCACAGCTTCGCCGCCCCGCCTCGGATGCACCGGATCCTCCAGCGCCCGCCCCCCACACGGGTCAGACTCTAGACGGGAGGTGAGGACACTCGACCCGCTGCTGTCGCCGAGGGAGCAAGGCCTGGGGTATCGCTGCGGGGTTTGCTGTGGGGGCTCTGGTCTTGGGGCCTGCAGAGGGTCCTGGACCACCTAACGCCTGCAGAGGGCCGTGGACCACCTAACGGACGCCTGCTAGTGTCCCGAAGGGAGGAGACGGTGACCCTGGAGCGCTAGGCCACGGCAGGGAGGAGGCGACCTTTACATCCGAAGTCGCTGGCGTGACCTGGCACGTGATTGGCGACAAACATCAGGGGAGACGCGAGTGACCACGTCTCCGTCCCAGATGCACAGCGAGCACCCGGAATCCGCGCGTTTCCGTCAGCCACCCGTCGCCAGCCCAGTTTCTCGGGGGAAAATCTCGTAACGTTTCCTCCTCCACTGAGTGTGCAAATGGGTTTGGTTTTCGGTTGACGAAAGCACAACGGGACGGTACTTTCTTCCCTAAGCAAGTACGTCCTCATTTGTACTTAGTTTAACCTGACTAGTTCCACAGCCAGTGAAATTACACGCCTAAGTCCTGCCTGATAGAGAAGGTTCCAGCACCCTTCACCGTCATGGCTGGCAGTTATCGGTCGCTTTCCAATGTCCTCACTTCCCTTTGGCTTCCCGCTGCCTTCAGGGCATATGCGGTTCCTCTAGCCTGATGTTACAAGGTTATTTTTTGGAGCCTTTTCTTAAAACAGGCATTCCCCCAACTCTGCCCATTTAATGACATTAAACTGATGCCATGAATATAAAAACAAACGCCACGTTTGATGAGTATTTTTTCTAATTCGTGACTCATCTCCATTCTTTCACAGACAGACGATGTCCAAGTCCATTTTTCTCTCTCGTGAGGTCCGATGCGTGCCAGCCACTCGTTTCTTTGCTGACACCCTGCGATCGGGCCTCCGCTTGGTGTTTGCTACCTATCTCTGCTCGTCTTCCATGGCCTTTTCTTCTCTTCATTGCTGGTTTTACCGGTGAGAAGAGATCGCTTCGTATCTCTAACACTCTGCTAGGAAAACCAAACTTTCCGCCTTTTTCTATTCACCGAAAAGGGGAGATCTAACTGATTCTGTTGCATTCTAACTACAACTGAAAATGTTCGCTTCACCTCAGTGCTTTCACGCTCATTCTGCTTGCAAATAGAGATTTTTTATTATTACTCATAAGGGGTTAGCTGGAGAAAAAAAAAAAATGTTTCTTTAAAGATCAGTTTTAGAATCACCACCCGGAGCCCTAGAATGAGTGTCTGCAGGACTCAAACGAATCTGGCGTGGACGTGACCTCCCTCCCCCACCCCCGCCTCATATACCCCTTACCAGCTCCCTCGGGAATGGCCAGAAACTCATTATTGTGTGCCTGCTGCGTGCGTCAGCCAGCATGCCTTAACAGTGCCGAACGGGGTTCTCGTCGTGTTGACTTACAGGACTCCCAGAGACTTGGGGGCACGTAGCACTCCCCACAGCCGTCTGACCACTGATGTGCCTCAGGATACTATGCTGCGCTGCGGATCCTGAGAAACTGAGGCTTTGACTTAATCCCGAAAACAGTCCGGGTAAATCAGGTGTTCTCCCCAATTTACAGATAAGAAAACAAAGGCCCTTGGGAGTATTCATTCGTCTCACCCATGACAGCTACGTGAGGGGGCCCATGTCCTCTCCCTCCACCCAGAGCCCCTCTAACGTGGAAGGAGGAGCATCCGGAAGGGCAGAGGCTGGAAGTCACAGGCCAGCTGGGAAAGGCAGAGGGAGGACACAGTGTCTCACTCAGGAGAGATGACACCGAAGGCCTTCTCCACGTCTTTAAGCACATCTCTCTTCCCCAGCAAGAAGCTTTATGTGATGGTATCTGAGAGACAGACATCAAAACTGTTTCCATCAAGCTAAATTTTAACTCGAACCCTCAATTCTCGCCATCTTCTTCTTTTCGCTTACACGTTCAGGAAATTAAAAATTGGAGAGATTTTGTGGAGGGGACTCCAGGCTCATTCTTTCCTTAGCAGTACAGCATGGAAGGCTTATGCGGAGTTAGTGACAAACTCGATGCTCTCATACAATTGGCAAGTTGCAAGGGTGGCATCTGACAAACCTGGAAACAAATGGCTTTTGTACAAATCCCCACGTGTGTGGGTTAGTTATATTCAGGAAACCCTCTGCTTCCCCCAAGAAGAGTTCACCAGGGGCCATAAGACATTACAGGGCGCGGTTTTTTACTGGACGCAACAGCCCTCCTGGCACACCCCATCTTGTCAGTTACATGCTACTTGCCACGACGCGAAACCAGTGTCACGCGCCTCACGAGAGCAGCTCGGGTGCCAAGTGGCTCAGACCCTCCTCTCCTTTCTCCTGGCCTCGCCCTCTGCCCCGCCCCCCACAGACTACACTGACAAGGTGAGTTTCAGTCTGGACGCTGACAGAATTTTCATTAATCCCGAAAGACGGCGCTGTCCTGAATTGAGTCTCATTTTAATGGGTTAATCTGCGAGTTGGCATGTCTCACTAATGTGAACGAGAGGGGTGGTCACGGGGAAGGTGAGCAAACCATCTACAACGGTGGCTTCTTACAGGAATGAGGACGGGAAAACATGTATCGCCAATAATATTGTGATAAGTCTGCACGGAGACAGATGCTAACTAGAATTAGTGGGGTGACCACATTGTAAGGTATAAGAAGGTCGAATCATTATATTGCACACCTGTAACTAACATAACTAATATACTGTTGTATACCATCTATACTTAAATAAAAAGTATAAGAAAAATTTACCGCTAAAAAAAAAAAGATTTATTGCATATCTAGCCCCTGCTCAGAGCTTCCCATGGATCATTTACACATAATCCTCTCAATTGCCCCCAGAGGTGGGTCCCATCTATTAGAGA